TGCAGCTGTAAGCGGAGGAGCTGGCCGAAGGAGCGGGGCTGGTGGTGCAGCTCCAGGAGCTCGAGGAGGAGGCGGGAGAAATGCCGTGGCCGTCGCCGCCGCTTATACTGCCCAGCACTGCTTCCGAGAAGGCGGCGGCGGCGGCGGCGGCGGCGGCGGCAGCTCCGCCGCCTCCGCAATGGTCGGCCAAGCGGAGCGTCTCGGTGAGCGCCCAGATGTAGTTGTGAGCGAAGCGCAGCGTCTCGATCTTAGTCAGTTTTGCGTCCTCCGGGAAAGTGGGCAGCACCTCCCGCAGGGCATCCAGCGCCGCGTTCAGATTGTGCATCCGGTTCCGCTCGCGGTTATTGGCCTTCAGGCGGCGGCTCTTCTTGAGCCGCTGGACCGTCTCGGCCGTCTTGGTGAGGCGGGAGGCGTTTCGCGCCCGGCCGGAGCGCCTCTTACAGTCGTGCCGTCTCAAGCCGAGATGGGGCAGGCGCGCGTGCTCCGCCGCTTTCACGGCCGCCTCGGGCGCTGAAACCGAGGGCGACAGGAGGTGGGACGGCTCTTCTTCCTCGTCGTCCTCCCCCTCGGAGCCCGACGAGAAAGGCGCGAGGGAGGAAGAGGAAGAAAGAGGAGGAGGAGGAGGAGGAGGAGGAGGAGGCACGGACCGGGTGTCAAGGAGCCCTTCTTCCTCCTTCACTTCCAGGGTCTCCGGTTTCACGAACATCCTGTAAGAACACAAAACCAGAGAAGCGGTCACCTCGAGGAAAGGCAGTTGGAGCTTCTCGGGGAGCATCCCTTCGCACCCCACCCGAAGCGCTCCAAGGAGGCAGGCGCGTGTAGGAGTGCACCCGGGCGCGGCTGGGTCAGTTTCGCTCTTCTTACAACGGAAAGCTGGTGGCGCGTCTCGCTCGAGAGTCCTGTCCACATCTACCATACGCCCGTGCGAAACTCTTCCATAGCATTCATAGTATAGACATCAACGCCACAGCCAAGGTAGCGACGACGCACAGCCACGCACACGCACACACAGAGCTAAGCTTCAGAGTCCGCGGACTCCTGAGCGCTTTAAAGTCTCCCGTCCAACTCTCGGGGTCTTCGGACGGATCACTTTGGGAACACGAACCACTCCCCTGCCTCGGATTTGCTTGCAAGGTTTAAGGTCACGAGCATGAGCTAACCAAAGAGGCGCCTCGCTTTCCAGCCACCCCGCTCGGCAAGGCATTGCAGAAATCAGCGCGGGTTGTCTTTGGAGCGAGCCGCGCCTCGCCTCGCCTCGCCTCGCCTTCCCCGCAGTATCCGTGGCCAGGAGGGGAGGCAGAGGGAGCCACTGCGATTGCGCCTAAGCGCTAAACGGGAGTTTTGGCTGCAGCCCGAAAAGCGCCTTCAGCCAACCAAGTCCGCTTCAAAGAAATGGAAAAGAGAGAGGGGGAATCGGAAACTTACTTGGCTCTCTTAGAGGTAACCGAATTGTTTTTCACTCGGCCCCCTTTTTTTTTGCCCGAAGACGTGGCTGGCTGCTGCTGCCTCGTTCCGCACCGCCCCTTGGGGCAACCTTCAGGTTCAGCTTGGCCCCACGCCGCTCCCTCCCTGTTGCTGGAGAAGGTCCCACCGTCGCTGGGTGTTGGTGTGGGTCCAGGGCCCCTTGCCGGGAGGGGGGCAATGTCTTTGAAGAGCTGGTTGTATGGCCGTCGCTGCTGGCCTGCGTGTGTGTAAGAAACAGGACAACTCGGTGGGGAGAGCTGCTGGCACGCGCCTGGACCCTCTAGTTAAAGCGAAGCTGCTTGTGTTTCTGTGGCTGTGTGTCTGGCACACGACTCTACTTAAAACCCCTTATATACCCCATGGAAAACAATCAAATGTACCCCCGGGGCCTCCTTGGCTCTCCCCCTCCCCAGGTTTAGCTTTCCTTTTCATTTCATTATCATCACTCATCTCTTCTCTTTCTTTTTTTGGGGGGGGGGGTGCTCCTCTTCCCCTCCCTCCTCCTTCCTTTTATCAGATCCTCCGAAAGTGTGTGGGCAACCAGGACAATTCTGGGGTGTGATTGGTGCCTTGCGCTCGGCTGGAGCGTGCCGCTAATTTATTAATGAATGGGGGTCGCGAGGCGCAGCTGGCCAATCAGAGCGTCCCGCTAGCCACGCGCGCTGGAACCAGCTTCCTTTCGACAACTCATTAGGCCCGAGGGCTGCGGCAGGGGAGAGGAAGAGGGTCTGTCCCACAGCCTTTGCTCACCATCACGCCAAGCATGGCTCTGCAAGCCCAGGCAGGAGGGGCACCTCACCACGCTCGGTTCTGCTTACCTTTTCAAACGGGGAGAAAGGAGAGTGTGCCAGAAACGAAGCCAGGGGTTGGTGAAGAGGCAGCTGATCAAAGCTAAAAAAGAGGCCCAGGGTCATGATGTTTAACAGTAGGGTTTAGGCAAGTTGCATTTGTGCATTAAGAGGGGTGTTGAGTCTCTTCCATCCCAGTGTGTCTCCCTGATGTCACACGTTTAGAAAATGAGCTTCTCTTAGAGAGAGGGAATAGGTTGCCCCACAGACTGGTAGATGCCCAGCCCCATTGGTGCTCCTCTCGCTTAAACTTCAGCTCATCTGTGGCTGGCTTCACTTGTGGTGTTAAGCCATAAGTGGTGTCCAATTTGGCTTGTGTCAGTCTAGCAACTGGGATTTCTCCGCCATAGTCTTAGCATGGTAGGTGGCTATCAGAGCAGTGTGGATTATGAGAGGCATATAGGTTCAGAATGGGACACAAAAACCAGGGTGAAGCTGATTACTTATTTAAAAAAAGACTGAATTTAGAGGGGAAAGAGAATATTTAGGGGGCATCTGTCACCTAACCTCTCAGTTTCAAGGCTAAACATCATAAAAGTGGAAGGCTTCCCTGGAAGGAAAGTTGGGAGATTTTCTATGCGGTGCTTAGAACATTTTAAAACAGCTTCCTTATTGTTTCTCCAAGTTATGTGCATTACCTCCACAAATAATGTTTCTTCTGATTTAAATATCATCATGCTATCCTTTCTGATTAGTGGAGGAAAGTCAGCTTCCCAGCTGCTTACTTCAGATGTAAGTGCATACTGCCTTTGTACAATATGCAGATAATCCAGTTATTCTTCTGCCACAGCCCTTTCTATTCATAGTTCCTAGGTCACCAATGCCTTGTTCATTATTTTCTCTTTAGATTTATGACTTGATGTATGATCAGTATTGATACACTGCCCTTTTAAAGGAAAAGGAAATGTTCTAATACTTCTCAGAGTGGAAGAAGGAAAATGGTAGCAGAGCAGAGAAAGATTTATTTTGCTAAAATGTAAACTGGCAAGATTTTCTTTAGAACATGTCAGTTTCATCAAAGAGCAGAAAAGTAGAGTTAGAAAACTGAAACTGGCAAGTCCTTTCTTTCCGCCCCTTCTCCCTGTAGAAAAAATAAGCTAAAATAGGGGAAATAGTGTGACTATGGAAAAAATGGTGGACAGAAGGCTAATCATGTGATTGAGGAAGAACTCCACTGTTTATAGGTGGTAAAAATGCAGAAAGACTGGAACTTTCCTACATGGACATTAGTTTATTTAAAAAACAGATATAAGCATATTTAAAATATTTTTGTCTGTCTTTTTGTCTGATTTTCCATCCATCCATCCATCCATCCATCCATCCATCCATCCATCCATCCATCCATCCAATTTGTCACCGCCCATCTCGTGAAGTGACTTTTGTCTGCATCAACATAACATTACTGGAAACAGGCTTGAATCACTGCTAGTGGCATCTGAGAAAAATCACAGTACCGTATGGTGTAGCATGTTTCATGAAACTGGTCACCAAGTTCAACAGGATTCCTCTCTTCAATGATCACTACTTCTGTTCTCACATCCTGTTATACTAGGATTGCTAAGTCATGGTTGGTTAAAAATGAGGTTGTGGTGTGTATATAAGGCTAACTGGATTTCAGAAGAAGGCTGCTGAAGCCTTATTGTATGGATATTTACTTGGAAGCAAATTCTTTGTTCAAAGCAAGCCTGCCACAATTTCACTAACAAACAAACAAACAAATCCTTTAATTAGGCTGCAGCCCTTCTTGGAAGTAAACATATATAATACTGAAGTGATTTGAATAGGACTTTTTTTTGAATAAACATATATAGGATTGGTCTAATAGGCACATTCAAAACATTTCACAGTGCATCAAGTTCACTCGAGATAGGAGTTTTCTAGTTCCTAGGGAAGTATATCTAGAAATGTGTCTTGGAGAAAGGAGGAAAAAAGAATTCTTGGTTGGTTTGTATGATTTGACTCTCAATGTTAGAGACGCTTGGTAGCGACATTATAGTCAATGAAATTTATTCTTGAGAAAATAGCTTTAGGCTTTTAAGTGGAACCCAAAGAAAACAGTACTTTTCTCATACAGTTAAATGAAAATCTGGAAATGAAAAGAAGACCAAAATCTTTGGAATGCTTACTTGTCTGGTAATATATATTCAGGATCTAGAGCGGCCTATACTTTTGTCCACTGTGGCAAACCTACAGTTTTTTGGCCCTTTAAAGACTAACAGAATTCTAGAACATTAGCTTTTGTAAACAGATGGATTTTCCTTCTGTCTTAAGCTGTAAAGAAGTATTGTTAGGCCCTTTTTTCACATGATGATTATTTGGGCATCATCAGAACATGCTCCAAAAAAAAAACTGCTGTTGGGCTCCCTGGTAACAGGATGTTGGCCTAAACAATCTGATTATCATTTGTTTAAGTAGTTTTCTTGCTAAAGCCACCATGCACCCCCCCCATCCCTCTTCCTCTTTCCCTTTTCAAGAAGCTGTGTTCAGATGGACAGACCAAACTTGATCAGTCATTGATACGATCCCTAGGAAAATCCTGAATTTTAGAAAGGCAGGGAATACATACCACTGACTATTCATTACCCAGTCATCACCCAAAATATTCTACCACTCTTATTTTGAGATAGCAAGTGTTCAGTTATACTAAGAATTCCTAGTGAAAAAAGGCTCTCGGTCTTTAAGGCACCACAAAATCCTTTGATAATCAGGAAGATAGTATAAACATTAGACGTTCTATGATTTCCTAAAATACTAGGAAAATTAATGTTAAGGGGAAAAACTTTCTGATGGTGTGATCAGTTTGACAATGTAATGGAAGTAATTATCAGTGAGCTGATAGGCCCACTTTGCTGGAGGTGTTAAGAGACAGTTGTTGAGGGTGCTTTAAATTGGATTCTGTGAGCAGTGGGTGAACTCAACAGTTTAACTGGCCCTTTCCAAGTTTATGATTGCATGATTCTATAAGCAAGTGAGAAATCACTCTCCCACTCTCCTCGAATACCTTTTTCTTCTTCCCCATCCTTTCTGTATTTATTTTGTTCTGCTATTGATTAATATCACACCCTGAGACTCACCCCAACAGAACTATTTCAGCTCTAATAGACTGCTTGTTTTATTCGGGCATTTTGGCTCAGGTGTCTGACTGGGAAACAGCTCATAGTCTTGAAGAAGTGAGACACTGCCTTGATATTCAGGAATCTTTCTTGGAATCCTTCTGCTGAAGTGCCTTGCATTACTTGACTCCCTTATGTTGAGAGATGGCAAAATAGTTTTCCCCCTTTCCCCACCCCCTTCTTTTAGTTTAGTTCAGTTTAGTTTAGTCTTGCCTCTGCGATGCACCAAAATCTATGATGTGGTGTTCTCATAAAAGATTTTCCCACTAACAGTTCAGTGT